CTTCTCTCCTGTCCTCTGCCCCCCCACTATCTTATCTATCTATCTATCTATCTATCTATCTATCTATCTATCTATCTATCTATCTATCTATCATCTACCTACCTACCTACCTACCTACCTACCTACCTACATACATACATATAATTTAGAAATAGGACAATGTGTTTTGCAAATAAGGCAAAATAACCTTTATTTTTTCCTGTGGAAAAACATCCTTAGGCTAATTTTTGAAGCTTTCTCCTCACAGTTGGTCTTTTTCTACCAGTTGAAATAATTTTCAGGTGCTAATTACTTACACTATTTATAATTTTTTCTCAGCCTGTTAATCTCATGCCTAAACCCAATTGGCTATTGCATTGTAATTTCACAATACTGTGCATTAATCTAACTGGCATTTGGCTCAAAATATTTTGTGTAAATATGTCCTTTTGTAGGTAAATTTCCATTACCTGATGGTTTTTATGCATCTCAATATGAATGGAATTTTTACCTGTGGAAGTAAAGGTCTTCTTAACAGTCTGAAGTAACAAATTCAGTGAGGTGTGTGGGGCCCTCCTTTAGGTGGTTGGATCCTATATGAAGCTATGTCCAGGAGTGAATCATACATTTTCCACTAACTATTCATCACAGCACCTATGTATCTTCTGCTTGTATATGCATTTTTAAAAGCATTCAATAACTATGTAATCTACACTTAAATGCCCTTGAAGAAATACTAACCATGGCACTTTATCATTCATCTGGATGGTACACTACTTTTTGCGCTTTGCATTCCCTCAGTACATGTTCACATCACAACAAATACGAAGTCAAGTACATTTCAATGGATTTTTATTTTTAGAAATGCTGTAAAAATTTTATATAAAAGTTTGAGCATGCTCAGTCTACCTTTTCCTCATACTATTTATAATAAAAAGTGTTTGAAAAGTCTGAAAAAATCATTGTTTCTTACAAAGTACCATAGCTGCATCAACTGGGAGAAGGGAAAGGGAGGATGATCATTATAAAAATAATTTAGGAGGAAAGACGTTTAGCTCTCTTTCGCTTTAAAAAACAACTTTTTGGCAAGTTTTGTGGTTAAAAAGACCAAAGCTTAGCCC